AAAAAGGCTTGTATATGATTTTATTTTCTCAGAGGAATGTCCAACTAACGAAGAGTATCTCCTGTGTGGTTCATCTTGTCCGTACAACTGCACCAATCCGCCGGAGAAGGTGGTTTGTGCTCAGGAGTGTATCGAGGGCTGTTTCTGTGTCGCTGGCTACTTGAGGAACGAGACTGGTAATTGTGTGCTCGCTGAAGAATGTCTTAAAGGTACGTTTTTCATACTAACAAGATTTCATCGGAACATTTTAAAATTATAACCAATAGCTTTCGTCTAGCGTAAAACTAGCCTATGTGTTCTTCCAGTCCATGTTCTACATCTGTGCAAAATTTCAGCGAGATCCGTGCAGCCGTTCTTGTTATATTTTCTAACGAACGATACATACAAAATCACCTCAGCATCAAAGATCAGCATTTTACCAATACACGATATGATATGAACCGGAATGAATTATAAATTTTTTGAATCAATTTTTGGTATTCATTTTAATAAGTAGACAATAAACAATTTACACAAAGGTGTTAGCTATCCATCAATATCCACAAGTACGAAGCGAAATACATTGCCACTGCACTTAATTTCTGTTCTGAACGTTTGTACAATTTAATGTAATTTTTTAATTTCTCAGCGGGCAACACTCCCATGTGCGAGGAGAATGAAGAGTTCATGTCATGCGGCAGCGCCTGCCCCGCCACTTGCAGTCAGCCGGAGCCGCTGGAATGCTCGCTGGCTTGCAGTATCGGTTGCTTCTGTAAATCTGGATACTACAGGGATGATGTTACTAATAAATGCGTCACCTTAGATAAGTGTTCTATCAGTAAGTATTAACTGATTTCATTGAAGCTCGGTTTCTGGAGTCTTTGTAAGATCGTAATGTTAATAACAAAGTATGAGAATTAAAGTTTTTGGTCTTCAGCTAAGGAATCAAGGGAGTTTTATTGCCACTTTCAAATTCATTAAATAGTTATCCAATTCCAAAAACATTGGATTTTTAATAGATTCAGAAATTTATAAATTTATATCATTCGTTTGCTTTCCAGAGCCTTGCACCAAAGAGAATGAAGTATTCGATATGTGTAACGCGGGTTGCCAGCCATCCTGCAAAGACCCTGACCCTGTCTGCACGAAGGTCTGCTCCTCAGGGTGCGTTTGCTCGCCTGGTCTACTGCGAAGTGCGGACAAGGCCTGCGTCAGTGTGGAGAAGTGCCCTTCTAATGGCACCTATACAGGGCCCTTGTCTAAATATCTTAATGCGATTAATAAAATTCTTCATCTTTCTTATGTTTAAATAGGAAATGTTATTATGTTAAAGTTAATTTGTTTATAAGGACTAGTGATGTAAAATTATACATGTTTTAAATTGAAAAATAAGTAAAATGCTTTGTTTGTTTTTTCACACTTTTTAGTTTCGAAGTGTTAATAGCACAGCCGATCTATGTGCAGTTTTTTGAATAAAACAATTGTTTTAATATTATTTACTACATAATTAACTTAATAAACAGTAAATTTAATAAAAGTAAATAACAGTTGAATCTCGTTGCATAGCTTTGGTTCTGTATCGGTAGTGTTACCATGTTTGTGACCTGAAACAAAGATTATAAGAAATAAGAAATATTAAACAGAAACGAAATATTAAACAAAAAATGTAGTTTTAACTTTGAAACATACAGCGACATCTCTTATCGACTAAGGACATCGTAAAATTCTTTTGGACAATAGAATTGTTTAAAAATATTTTCAAACGATAAAAATATATTTGTACAATGTATTAATTACAAAATTTGATTGTTAGTAAAAATAAAGATATACTATTATGAAAGTCCACCTGGAAATGGATTTGAAATTACTAAATTCAGCGACATCTTTTGGTGGTATTTTGCACTTTTACGTAATGATTATACATAACAGGAAAACGGCAAACATTTTACTAATTTACAAAAGATGGCGCTTAACACAAAAGTTCTTCGTTGTAGAAATACTTATTATTATTAAACGATTTTTGGTAAGCGCTGCAGCACAAAATTTTTTCAAGCATTGTAAAATGTGGTGATAAAAAAAGTTAATGAGGTACCGAATGTGCAAAGCGTATGATTCCCTTACGACGCCACCTTATCACATGTTCACAGATATCATCACAGATTTTACCTATCCACTCCCCAACGACACTGAGGTCACCTTTTTGTACTCCTCTTCCCGAATGCCGTAAGCCATATAGGAGTATGCCAGAAAATCGCTGTGGTTGGAGACTAGCTGGAAGACCATATTCCTGGAGCCCGTCTTGCCGCGGATCAGCTCGAATTTCACGTCTGCTAAGGCATCAGTTGTCGCCGACACTTCTAAATACGACATCACGTAGCCTTTCTGTGGTACAAAAGACTATTATTAGAATTGCTAAGACACGTTTAATAATTACTTAAGTAGTCCCTTGAAGTAGATTACTCGTACAAAATCAACACTAAGGGACACCTCTAGGGATGCGTTAACGAGTCTTAGTAAACTTTGGAAATACTGAACGACATGAAATAACCGTTTAATTTTATTTTATCACGAAGAAACAAAAAGAACATATTTAAAATAAATTTTATTATTATTTACAATCTTAAACGTCCTTCGAGCAGGACTTTTTCATTAATATAGCTTACGATTCACCAGTGAATTATGGCGTAGATTTTATTCCACATAGGATGAAGGTAGTCTGACCTCAGACCACCTGACCACTAAACTGCCATTGACAAAGTATCTCGCTTCCGAATATATTGGAGAGAAACTCTTGTGGTTTCCAGTGTGCCCAAATTAATGGACCACGGGTTTTTACCCGAACATATTAAATTTGTTCCGATTTAAACTAAAGACATAAAATGGGAGACATTCCTCGTAACGATTGGTTAATTAGGCATTTCATTCCTTCACTTTAATAGTTAATATAATTTCACGTACAGCTACCAAGAAGATCTATTATTTTGTAACAACTGAATAACTAAAACATTATAGACTAGCTGTCGCCCGCGACTACGTCCGCGCGGGATTAAAATAAAAACTAATTAGTAGCCTATGTGTTGTTCCAGAAATTCTACATCTATGCCACATTTCTGTGAGATCCACGCAGCAGTCGTTCTGGAGATACCTTTTATAATATTGGTAATATAGATAGCTAACTATAAGCTGATTTTTGAGTAGTTTGATGTGAGTAAGAATATTTTTTTTTTATCTTATATGGCCTTATTCCCCTGACGATGTACATTCGCGGCACGAATGCAATAAAAGTTTTACGCCATTCACTTTCGTGCAGGCTTTTACTTTGAAGACCGCTGAAAATACGAGCGATGTCATTAAAGTTCAATTTCACAGACACAAGTCTGTTTACGAGGTTTTTTCCCATCACGGAACTTATTCGATGGATAAATGCTGGAATGAAAGTTGTAACCAATAGCTCTCGCTGAAACTCCGTCCGCACGGGTCTAAAGAAAACATTAGTTGCTTATGTGTTCTTTTACACTATGTTCTATTATATATGTCTGCCAAATTACATCAAGATCCGTTAAGTCATTCTGGAGATACTTTCTAATAAACACTCAAACATTCGCATGTATAAGATTTTTATTTGGACTCATATAAATATTTTCTTCGTAACAAATAATTACAAACTACAGGTCAATTTTATTATTTAATCAATGTCTTTTA